ACTTACGAACCTGCACCCCTCATGCCGCCTAAGGAGGAGGACCCTGACTGGGGCAGCGAAGACCGGGCTAAGGAGGAGGAGCTGCGCCTCGCCGAGGCCCTGAGCGAGGTCCACCCCATCTCCTCGTCCTCTGAATCGGGCACAGTTGAAGAGCACCAAGCCAAGACGAGTCTTCAGAGTGAGCGGCGCGCCAGCCCCGAGATCGACCCCCGCAGTGCCGACCAGAGGGCTGCCCGCGCACCCGCCGAGCCAATCCTGCGTCTCGAGGCCGTGGCCGACGATCGGAACCCGCGCAGGCGGGGCCGCTCCAGGGGCCTCGAGGACCCTCGCCCTGCGCTCATCCCTTTCTCGGCGCACCCCCCACAGCGCCCGCGCGGCAGGGTGCGGGAACCAGTCGCCTGGGAGCTTTGCGCTACGGCAATGAGGCGCGAGTCCAGAGAGGGCGACCGGCCGCGCGCAGGAGAGCGAGACCGCGACCGCGACCGCGACCGCAGCCTGAGCGCGGCGGGGGCACTGTGGCGCAGACTCGACGCCAAGGACTGGGACATAACTAGGGGGCGCTACTGGGACCAGACCCATGCAACTGGCTGGGGCTCAGGTAGCGCACCCTGGCGCCAGCCAGAATCGCGCAGCTCTCACTGCAAGGGCGACCGCAGCCGCGCCGACGCCAGCCGGACACGCGCCGCGTTCCGCGCTGGATGGCAGCGCCTCCCAAACGAGACAGCAGTAACACACCTGGAGAGGTTGCAGACGGAAGGGGGGCACCAATGAAACGTAGCCTGGCATTCGTGGTGCAGGCACAACTACAAGGAGCAGGGCAAGGGCAAATCTAAAGACCAGGCGCCCTTCGACCCACGCCGCTGGCAGCAGTGGATCATCGACAAATTCCTGGATGACATGAAGGCCAACAACTACCGCGTGGACCGATGGTCCAGCAGCGCAGGCGTTTACGTGGACTGGGGGCGGGAGCAGAAGCTCTATCAGGAGGTGCAGAGGAAAAGGGAGGTCGCTAAGGGTGGCGGGCGCGACGGGGGCCAGGCCCGCAGTGTTGGGTACCGCGACGCCTTGACTGGAACGCGCCCACGGCGCTGACTGACGTCGGCCCTGCCGCACCCGGCCCGCAGCGCCATTGCCTAACCCGCCAGCCACTCCCACTACCTGCGCCCCCGTCCCCGAACCGCACCCCCACCTCTCAGCCAACTGGGGGCCGCGTGTCCTTCTTCCCCCCTTTACCTGCTACCCCTCGCCCTTGTGGCGCCCATGCGCTGGCATTCGCCTGTTCACCGGGGCCCCGTCCTCTCCTCCTCCTCCTCTCCTCCTTTCCCGTTTCCAAGGATCTGGGACTCTGTGTCCTACCTGTATGCATCGGCTGATTGAGATTCCCTGACCTGGGTCTCTGTGTCCCCCCTGTGCCCATCGGCTGTTTCCAAAGGATCTGGGGCTCTGTGTCCTACCTGTGCCCATCCGCTGAGCGTGATTTGAGGATCTGGGACTCTGTGCCCCCCCTGTGCCCATCGGCTGGGCATGATTCAAGAATCTAGGACCCTGTGCCCCCCCTGTTCTTACCTGCGACGCATTGGTGCGCCAGCGACGTGCGTGACACGCCCGTGTTGGGGCCTCGGGTCTTACCTGTGCGCATTGGGGCGTGTCCCACCCGGGCACCTCGGTGCGCGCTGGCGGGACTCCGGCTGGCGTGGGACGCTGGCCTCTCTCCCCCCTGTCCGCTTTTTCCTTCCCCGCTCGCTGTCCCGCCCTCCCGCGGCGGCAGCGCCCAGCGCAGCGCGGCTCCGGCCCGGTGCTGGCGCTGCACCTTGCCGCCTCGGCGGCCCCGCTCACCCTGGGCAGCGCGGCTCAGGCCCGGCCCGCGGCAGGCGGACGCAGTCGGCTTTCATGCCGAGCCTCGTGGCTGCTACCTGGACGTGGATTGGACTACCACCCCAGGCCGCTACTGACCACCCGGTGGCGCAACGTTGCACATCGACTTCGTGGTCATCCTCATCTGCTGGGCCTCTCCCTACCAGTCGGTGGCACCTGGTGCACTTCGCTTACCTGGTCTTCCTCTACCTCGCGGACGTTGACATGGTCGCGGCCCTTCCCGCGCAGCGCTCGAGGATGGTGTTCCCGGCGCGACGGCAACGCCTATTCACCCCGGGATTTCGCCCCCGCTCCTGTCCATGGCGTACCTTTTCCTGTGCAAGGTCTTCGGCGCCGCCTGTTCTCCGCGCCCCCCGGCCGCCTGAGGCCCCGCCCGCCCGCGCCTGTCTCCCCAATTAGTGCTTCGCGCGCCCCGCCTAGCTCTTGGCCGGGGGGGGCCCGCTCCCGACCCGCCGACCATTTTTTTTTTTTTTTTTTTTTTTTTTTTTTTTTTTTTTTTTTTTTTTTTTTTTTTTTTTTTTTTCGTTTTGTTTTTTTTTGTGTGTGCGCGTGTGCGTTGCTTTGCTTTGTCGCCGCGCGCGAGGCTGCGACTGCCGAGCGTGTGTGTGTGTGTGTGTGTGTGTGTGTGTGTGTGTGTGTGTGTGTGTGTGTGTGTGTGTGTGTGTGTGTGTGTGTGTGTCCGTTTTTTTGGTGTGTGTGTATGTTCGGTGTTTCCTCCGAGGGCGTTATCTCAATCATGCAAGTGGTTAGATCTAGGCACCTCGAGCCATTGGCGGCAGGATAGCGCGGCGCGGGGGAGGGGGTGCGGTGGCTCTATGGCCACGAAGTCTCATGCGCCTGGTCCGCATATGCGGGTGCGGGGCTGGTTTTGCCGTTGTCGCGGCGTAGATCGGGCGACGGGCATGATGCGCATCTGCTGCCCCAGGCCAGGCCCATTCTGGGCCCAGGAGCGGTGCGTGCACCCCCGTGGCATGTCCAGGGAGGCGCATGCGCCGATCGTGGGCCCAGGGTGGGCCTGGCCTTGGGGCAGTGGATATGAGTAGATCTCGTTGCCCTCGTAGAAATCAGGGCGGTCTGGATCGCGGGCGGGCTTCCTCCGTCCTCCCTTCCCCGCTTTCTCTTACTTCCGTTGCCGTTTCGATGCCCTCCCGAGTTGCGCGGCCCGCCTTCCGTCGGGGTGCTGATGGCAGCTGCCAGTGCGAAGGGTCCTCTGGATGGTGCGCAGCGGTTCCGCCGGTTTCCAAACGTGGCCGACGCGTTCCCTGCTGGCGCGGCTGATGTGGGCACGGTTTTCCGCGCGCTGGACTCCGAGGGCGCGTCTGACCTGGCCCAGGGAGCGAAGGGGCAATTTGCATTGACCCGCGACGGCCGGCATCGGCTTCTAATACGAGTTCGGTGCCAGCGCGCTCAACGGGCATTTTCCGAACGTTGGTATCGGGGGGAACTTGCCGCCCATTCCGGTAGTCTCATCAAATTCATGTGGGTGGTCCGAGCAGCGTTTTGCCATCCAAGCGTATCCGTGCGCAGCGTCGTCGCCGTTTTTTTTTTGGTTTCCTTTTTTTTCTCCATCCATGGGTGGTGCCGCTTTTGTCAGCTACTCAGCTACACTTGTGTCAGTCGCATTCGCGACGCGATGGCCGAGATCGTAAAGCAGATGCATATGCAACGTCTTGTGAAGGCAGCATCGGCAGCGCCCGCTGCAACCCTGTTCCTACCGCGCGTGCGCGACGAGGTTTCCACGCGGGTCCGCTCCAATGTCAAGAGAGAGGGCGACCGGCGTGTGTGTGTGTGTGTGTGTGTGTGTGTGTGTGTGTGTGCGTGTGTGTGTGTGTGCGTTCCATGGCCCGCGCCTTGCCGGAAGCCGCGGCAACGCAGTGCAGAAGAGCGTCGTGCAGTGCTTCGTCGGGGATGCGGAGATCGACGTCTGGTGCGAACTGCAGGCCCCTCTCGGGGGGGTCGCGGCGACGATCGCGCGCGCGCTGCGGTCGGTGGTGATGCGAGTGGCGCGAGCGGCCGTGGGTGGGCGCCCGCGCGGAAATTCCCTCATGATCGCGCGCATGCTTACAAGTGGTTCCATTTTCACCATTGACGTAGCAGCGAGAAGGTTGTGCGCCAGGTTAGTGGCTGAAGGCAACATTGCCTACGCCTCATTGGCATCCTCTGTGCATCGCATCTGGCCAACCTCGCCGCGGCCATTGCGCTGCGTGGGAAGATCGTCAAGCGTCCATGTAAGGCAGGCATTGTGCTCGCAATTTGCTCGAAGTTGATCAGGCGCCTCGTGAGCGACTATAACGTGGAGTTCTGTTGATCATTCAGGGAGCGTCGCCGCCAAATTGCAGATGGCGCGCTTGGGTCCGCCCGCCCAGGCTGCCCGCGGCGAACGAGAGGGTCGTCTCGTTCTCTCCATGGCGATGAGGTATTGCCGAAGTGCTTCTTGAAGTTCTGTTGCTTATCCTTGGCTAGGCCGACGTACTGATGTTCAGACCCCGACGCGGTCGACGTCATAATATCGAGAGGCGAGTCATGGCAGGCCCCGCAGAAAAGAGTCTTGGCTTTGGAAGAACATCCAATTGTGAGCAGACGCAGGACTTTCGGTTGGCGCGTGCAAGCATCTCTCTTGATTGATATGTTCACTGTCCCGCCTGAGGCATTCGCTGTTCAGAGTATTCAGCCAAGACACAAGCAGCGAAAACGCCTGGTTGCAGCAGTCGAGTTTTGGTCTCGACCTGAGACGGCGGGTGCGTTGAGAAACGCTGCGCTCCGTCTGCGAATCAGTGTCCCTTTCGCCGGGCGCAATTCAGCAGCAAGCTGGGGAACTGCTGTCGGATTTGCGTGGCCGCGTGGGGGCGACCCCGCATTGCAAGCCGCATTGGCTTGCGTGTCGCTGGTGACCACTTATGGGCGCGCGTTGCTACGTCTGTGGCAGTTTGGGAAGCGCCCTTTTAAATCATGGCGTCTATCTGCTGAATGCAATCCGACCAGGCGGCCGCAGGCGTGCTGCGACTTCTTCGAGGTGCCAGCCGAGGAAGTTGACGTTGGATGCAGCTCTTGGCTGCAGACAGAAACGAAGAGCAGAAGGGTCCGCGACCGACGCCGTTGCGTTCCTGATGTCCGCGGCCGCGCAGGAGGAGGTGGCGACCACTGCCCGCGCCGTGCTGATGACCGGCCCGGGCGTGGAGCGCAGGCGTGCAGCGGATGAGAGAATCGAGGCGCCCTGGCTGGTAATGATTGGCCAGGGAAGTCGGAGCGCGATCTTGCGGCAGTGCATGGCGTGGCAGGAGAGAGCGACGGGCTTCCCTGGGCGCCCTGTGAAGCAGGTCAAGCAGCGCGCGAACCTTCGCTCCGTGGCGGTTGGAATCCTGGCTTGGTGATTGCAGTGCCCTCTGAGGTCGGGGGCCGGCCGCCCGCGCTGTCTGCGGGCGTTGGAGCGCTCGCGGCGTGCGTGGCCGTGAACCGAGCGGCGCTGGAGGCCGAGGTGCAGCGACGACGGCAGACCGCGCTTCGGCCACCGAGCACCAACGGACAGATCCCTGTATCAATCCAGACCACGGCGGGCTCCGCTCGCAGTTCGGTGAGCCAGAGAATCGTTCCTGACAGGGACTGCCCTGCGTGCGCCAGGTGGCAGCCACTCTGCGATGGGCCCCCCGTGGCCTCTCGGCGTCTGCTCAGCGCCTGGGCGCCCGGCTTCTTCCGTGTCCAGGTGGGCGCGACGAAATGGGCGGTGTCTCGCGTGTCCAGAGGAGTGCGCTCCCTGGTTCTACCCCCTCATGCGGAGGGCGGAAATTGGGAGTTGGTCTTGGCGACGAGCATGTTCGTCCAATATCTGGGCATGGACGAGCTCTACGTGCTTTTCAGAGTGCCGTCGGCTGCCGTCGATCTTGTGTCTGTTTACCGGCTTGAGCCTCGTCTGGAACGCGCGTGCCCAGGCAAGATGTTGAGCTTTCGGTTTCTGAGGGCTTGCCTCGTGGACGTGGGCGATCTCCCCTGGGGGGCCCTGCGCGATTCCGACGCCGAGGCGCCCGACGCCGACGAGATGGGAAGTCGCCTCCTCGGACGACTGCGACATTCCATCTCTTGCCAGCGAGGCCGACCCAGGGGCTGAGTCTGAGGCCGAGGGCGCCGACGTCGCGGAAGTCGTCGGGAGCGCCGCAGACCGGGCAGAGGAGGCAGATGGCGGCGGCGACGGCGACGACGATGAGGCGCGCGCGACTGCTGAGAGGGGGCCGGTCGAGGGGCGGACTCAATTTCTGGGCCAGTGGGTTCTTCGCTCTCAGCGACAATCCAAAATGGGGAGATGCCAAGATAAAAGAGCACTTCCCAGGTGGTGCGCCGAGGGGCTCACGGGCGAAAATGCGCGAGGGGATCCCGCCAGGAAGATGTCCGAGTCCGTCGCGCCGGCGCCGTCCCGCGAGCCTCGAGACAGACCGTTGAGGTCGCGCGTAGTTTTGCGCTCCTGGGCGCTCTGGCGCGCCGGGCAGAGGATTCGCAGTGGGTTCTGCGTGTCGCCAGCGCGTCTTCGACTTGGAGCTGGGGGAACTGCGCGATGAGTTAGCCGCCCTGGGGCGCTGCGGCCGCGCTGGGGACGCGCGCGCTGACGCGTGGATCCAGGCGTGGGCCCCCGAGGCCCTCGCTTGAAAATGATGCTCTGTTCTTCTGCAATCACCCTTCTCCTTGCGCCGCGATGCCCCCCCCCCGCCCCGCGCAGACCTGGCCGGCGCGACCAGAAACGACCTCGATTGGAGGGGCCTTGATCGGGGGCGCTGGGGGACACGCATTGACGTTAAGACGGGGATATCACGGGGCCGTCTCGGGGCCATCTTGGGGCCGCCTGTCGCGCCGAACTGAGCAAGCGAGAGTATAATAATTACCTTTCAGTGGGGGCGAAGTTTGAATGGTGGGCACTCCAACTTCATGGGGGTTCTGACCTACCCTCGCGAGGATGCCGACACGCCTGGTGGGCGGGGGATCTTTGCCAGCACTGTGCGTCAGATGTTGTTCGGCGAGTGGCGACGCTCGCCTTTCTACTAGCATCTACGTCGCCCCCCCCCCCCCCCTCCTTCCTTTCTGCTCCCCTTTCCGCTCCTTCCGCCTCCGTTCGTTTCTTCCCCCTTCCCCTCCCATTTCTTCCTCTCCCCTCCCCTTCCTTTCCTCTTCTTCGCCTCTTCCGTCTTTCCTCCTCGTTGCTTCAATTTCCCCCCCCTTCCTTCCTTCGCTCCCTTCTTTTTCCCTCCTCGTTCTGCTCCGCGTCCTCGTCGTCGTCGTCGTTGTCGCCCCCCCGCCCCTTTCCCCCCCCGTCGCCGTCGGCGGCCGGGGTAAAGGCGGCGCCGGCGAGCCGTGAAGCCCAGCCTATAAGGCGACGTTGCAGTCACCCCTTCAGGGCCGCCCCGGCGCAGCGTAGAGCCGACCAACGCAGTCGAAGTGATTCGTGGATCCTGAGAACCCAAGGGTTAGAGGTGGGCATCGAGTTCTTCAGTTGGTTAGAGGGTTTCCCGTAGCAGTTTTGGTCACACCATTCAGCAGTCGGCAGCGCCGGTCGCGGAAGCGACCTGCTTATGAAGCGCCGCTTCTCAGGCCCAGCCAGCGGCGGGCCGTCTGCGCTGGGCAACCTCGCCGAGCTCGTGCGGGGCGGCGCCCTCCGCTCTCCGCATGGCGCGCGTGCGCATCTGTCCGGCAACCATGGGCCGCGCGCCGCGATTTTCCGCGCTGCCCTCATGGGGCCCTTGCCGCGCAACCCGCTGGCGCCCGCGCGACGTAGACTTAGAGGCCGTCGTTGCGTCGACGCGAGCGAGTGATGCCCGCTCGTTTTCCACTGGCCGAGGTGGCTTGAGCCAAGAAGCAGCGCATTCCGAATTGGCCGACGGTGGGCGCCGTGGCGCTGGGCGTCCTTGTCCGTGAGTTCCAGCTGCGCAACGTCCACTTCATGCGCGGCCCGTCCGTCTGGAATGTCGCCGCGACCTTGGGGGTGCTCGAGCGCCGCCCGGGCGCGACGCAGAGCGGCCTGATCAGATGTGGGCGGCGATGTGCGCGGCGCCCGGCCGCGGGCGCGAGGTGCAGGAGGCGTGCTTCGACGGCCGGGTGGCCCTCCGCGAGTTCAGCCACAGTGGCGTCGGGGAGATGAAGGGCGACTTGATGGCGTGAAAGTTGTTGGCTCTAGGATGCCGCGCGACCGCGGAGACCGTGCTGGGGCCCAGCGCGTCTTCGCGCTCCTGAGGCCGGCTGCGGGGGTCGATCGAGGAGGTGGCGGGCGATGATGCGCGAGTGCGGGGCCTCGTCTCAGCGTGTGCGGCATCGGAAGCGGCGGCTGTGCTCCGGAAGGTGCGCCCTTGGTTCTCGGCTTGGCGAGGCCTGCAGGTGCTCGAGCCAGAGGGGGCCATCGGCCCCAACCCGGAGAGTTTCCTCGCCTGGGCGAAAGTGCTCGAGTCGCAGGGGCACCGCGGCGTCAACTTTGAGGAACTCCAGGCCGCGGTGCGCCCGTTGTGGGGGCGCCAGACGGCAGGCTGCGGCGGCGGCTTCCAGGTGGCCGTGGCGGGCGGCCCTGTAGCTGTTCCAATGATGCCGCCGCCAGGCGTGGAGATGTTGCAGGTTCACGCTGTGTAGGACAGTGTAGTTAGTGGACCTCCTGGGTTGGTGCAGGCCTACGCGCTGGCGCCGGCCGCCTAGCGTGGCCGTGCTTGCCAGGTCGCTGCGTGGGGGCACCAGCGAGTGTGATGGGAATCTGCCGCTGGTGCTCCGCGCGCTGCAGCGGGCCGCTCTTGCGATCGCTATTGGACATGGTATCATTCGCATTCTTCTGCGTTATGTAGCCCACGAGCGTTTTTTTTAGAGTATATAGTGCTATATAGAGTCACACATGGTGTATATGTATATATATATATAGTGGGTGCCAGGAATGGCCCAGAGGCAGTATATCACCTTCCCATCCCGACGATTTTACCCAGCCAGGGGTCGTTCCGAGCGGCCCCGGCGCGTTCGTCCCCCCCCCCTCCCCCGGCGCCCATTCCTGCCGAGCTCAGCCCCCCTCGCCGGCGCCCGAGCCCTGCGTCCGACGGCCAGATGCGATCGTCGGAGCGCTGCTGCTTCGGGCGTGCTGTGCCCAGCGGGCGGGGTGCGACTTGGGTCGTTTCCGGAGAGTGGATGCGCGGGGGAGGAGGAGGTTGGGGGGGAGTTCGAGGAGCTCGAGGAGCAGTGGGGGGAGGAGGACGTGGAGGAGGGGGAGATGTGCAAGGAGGAGGAGGAGGACGAGGACGAGGAGGAGGAGGAGGAGGAGGAGGAGGAGCGGGACGCGATGGCGAGGAGGAGGAGGAGACGAGGGAAGAGGGGGTGCAAAAGGGGGTAATGAGGAAGGGGGGCTCGAGGATCAGGAGGTGGAGAAGGAGGGGGGGTGCCTTCGCCGCCGCCGCCGCCACCGCTGATGTCGTCGTCGTTGTCGTCGTCGTCGTCGTCATCGTCGTGTTCGTCGTCGTTGTCGTCGTCGTCGTCTTCTTTGCTCTCGTCGTCGTCTGCGTCGTCGTTTTCGTCGCGGCCGTCGTCGTCGTCGTCGCCGCCGTCGCCGCCGCCGCCGCCGCCGACGCCGGAGTCGTCGTCGTCGTTGTCTTCTTCGTTCTCGTCATCGTCTGCGTCGTCGTTTTCGTCGCGGCCGTCGTCGTCGTCGTCGTCGTCGTCGTCGTCGTCGTCGTTGCCGTCGCCGCCGCCGCCGCCGCCGCCGCCGCCGGAGTCGTTGTCGACGTGGTCGCGGGCGTCGCGGGCGTCGCCGTCGCGGGCAGGGCGCGCCCCGCCTTTTTCGCCGCGGAGCGGCGGGCCGAGGGCGGAGTGGGGTTCACGTCCCCGCCCCCGTCGCCGCTGCTGGGCTCTCGTCGCCGCGGTGCTGGGCGGTTGGGCTGGCGCGCCGAGCAGACGGGGCCGCAGGCGAGCGAGGTGTTGTCATTCAGGGTCTCTGGGTTTCGAACGTCTCAGGGGCCTCAGGGTCCTTGCAAATCTCGTGGCCTCTGGGGTGTCAGGGCCGTGGGGGTCTCAGAGGTTTTCGATTGTCTCCAGGGCTTCAGTGGTCTCAAAGGCCTCAGAGGGTTTCGCGTGTCTCTCGGGCCTCATAGAGGTCGCAAGGGATTCAGCGTTCCGGGGCCTCGGGGGTCTCAAGGTCTGAGGGCCGCGGGGGTTCGGGATGCCCTTGTCGCCGCCGCCGCCGCCGGAGCTGTTGTCGTCATTGCCGAGGGCGTCGTCGGCGTCGTCGTCTCGGGCGCGTGGCAGGGCGGGCCCCGCTGCTTTTGCCGCGGAGCGGCGGGCCGAGGGCGGGGCAGGGTGCGCGCCCTCCTTCTCGCCGTCGCTGCCAGGCCCTGGTCGCCGCGGTGCTGGGCGGTTAAGCTGGCGCGCTAGGCAGACAGACCCGCGGGCGAGCGAGGTGTCATGCGGGGTCTCTGGGTCTCAAATGTTTCAGGGGCCTCGGGGTCTAGAGTCTCAAGGCCTTCGGGGGTGTCGGGGCCGCAGGGGTTGCAGAGGGTGCTGGGTGTCTCAGGCGCCTCGGCGGTCTCAGAGGCTTCGGTGGGTTTCAAGTGTCCCGGGGGTCTCATGGGGGTCTCAGGGGGCCGGGCGTTTCGGGACCTCGGGTGTCTCGAGGTCTGAGGGCCTCGAGGGTTTCAGGGTGCCCTCGTGGTCTCGGGGTCTCCAGGCCGCGACGTCGGAGGTTTCCGAGTGTCTCGGGGGCCTCGGCCGTCTCGGGGGCTTCCGAGGTATCGCGGGTCTCGTGTGGCCCCATTGATGTCTCAAGGGTCTCAGGGTCTCAGGGCCTCGGGGGTTTTGAGGTCTGAGGGCCTCGGGGGTCTCGGTGTCCCAGCGCATCATGTGCTCGAGCGCCTCAAGGCCGTTGGGTCTCAGAAGGGGTTCGAGTGTCTCAGGGGTCTGCGGCCTCCGGGGCCTCGGGGGTCTCGGGTGCCCTTGGGGTTCATGGGCGCCATGAGTGTTTCAGTTCTTTGGGGACATCGGGGTCAGGGCCCTGGGGTCTTGCGCGTCGATGCCGTCGTTGCCTTCGCCGTTGCAATTGCCGTGC